TCAATATCCCAACAGCAAAATAAAAGTTTAACATAACAAAAAGAGACCATTTATTCTTTACACAAAAGACAAGCTCCAATACAGCAAGGCTGGCTGGGGAATTCTAGGAGTTGAAGTCCACCCATCTTAAAGTTGCCAAGGTTGAGAAACACTGCATTAGAACATGCCAGAAGATGCAAACTAGAGAATAGGGAGAGCTGGGTTGGTTCCTGCATAGTGGAAGAAGATATACATCCTGTGGTATGACCTAACACCCCTCCCCCCACCCTCCAGTTGCTTCAGTTACATTCAGTCACTAGATTTGGGAGACAGACTTAAAGGAAGCATTTAACTACCTAGGGCCATGAAACATGCATATTGTTTGAACTCAGTGCTTCTAAAGATTGTGTATATATGATAGAACATCTATTTAGAATTTCACATCTTGAAGATGGGTTGAACATTAGCTGATTCCACACAGATATAACCAGATTTTTAAACTACAAGCCTGGGATAGGAGGAAAAGTAGTTTTGGAGAATCCCGAAGGTCTTTCTTCCTTTGGCAAGCAGATCTGTTAGATCCTTCCGCCCAAGGAGAAGGACAAGATTATATCTGTCTAGTTGTGCCCACCTGTGTCATTTATGGTATCCACACTGTAGACTGGCCTTCTTGGTCCTAATCAATACTTAATTGGTTAAAACCCCATTGCACACCGAGGCTTTTGTATGAGGTTCCATAATTTAAGAAGCCTCTGAATGACAGAAGCAGCTAAGTATTAGCTTACTTCCTCATCCCCCTCTTGGCAGAATGTGGTTTCATTTGGTTTTGCAACAGCACCAACAAACCCTGAAATTGTTGCTTGTCGAGGCTTGTTTATTTATTGCTTCTAATACAATGAGATGCCAGATGGAGAATGACTGAGCAGGAGGGACTGAAAGTGGTTTGGTGTAGCTACTATGGTCAGCTGGATGTCTGTGGCCGTACAGTGTCATATCATATATTTTTAATAAACATGACCATTTCATTCTTTACCAGGTTTGAAGAAAAGTGTGCCTCCATATGCATTTTGGTGTAAATCTGTAAGTCCCCTGTAAGTCATAAATAACAAATGCTAAGGCTAGGGGTCATATCATTTAACTTTGATGTTTTACAAATAAGGTTCTAATAGAAGAGAATATATGTAGCTCATGGTGGAACTGTGGAATCCTTGGTGCTGTCTGAGCTTGGTTGTTTGCTTGCAGACATTTCATTACCCGAGTAGGTAACATCATCAGTGCTAGTGAGTGTGGGGTTTGCTCCCTGTTTATATACAGTAGCTTCCCCTGCCAGTGTTGGTGAGGGTGTGGTTTTCTCCTTAGTAGTTCCTTGATTAGGGTATTGTGTTCTGCTTGATTGTTTGTCT